CATTAGCCACAGGATCCGCCCTGCGGCGCACGGAGCCGCCTCCCGCAGCCGCAGCCGCAGCCGATGTCGTAACCTCCCCCTGCCTCTTCTCCGCCTCACCCATGTGCCTCCCAACCGCCAAGCCACCGCCGCCTCATCTCCTCGCTGCACGGCCGGGCGACGCGGCGAGGCGCGCTCCCACGCCGCCGCCGGTGGGACACCGCAAGACCGCCGTCGGCCGCGTCCATACCCTCATCCATCTGCATAGCCCCAGCTTTGTCTCCTCCGCTCCGAGGCCGTACACGCCCTGACGCCCTTGATCTGGACGGCAGTACCACCGGGGCGCATCACCTTCTTGCGCCTCCCACATAGGCCTCCGTGGTCGTGCTGCTCTGTACCCAATGTCTGTCTATAAGCTTCATGTGCATCAGTAGTCTTGAGCCGCCAATCTTGATCGAACAGGTCGCAGGAGCTTGCCGGTAACACCTGATCTTTGATCTGGTTTGTATGCACGCGTGTATGTGATTAGTTTCAGGCTTTCAGCGGCCACATGTCGTTGCAGTAAGACGATGCATCACGCATTGAATGGAACCGTAAGGCGATGAGGCGAGGAGCGCGTGCACACACTGGCGTCAGCGGCACGGTGTCAAGCTGCGGAGAAGGCATCCGGCGAGGCGGCCACCAAGTTCTCCATCTCCTCTTGAATTCTGCTAATTATCTTGGCATTTTATTGGCCTGCTACTTGATGGAAATCAAACTCCCCATATACACTTGTACTGAACACCACACACGACTGCTACTTTGGTGCAGTACGGTGATTAGTCTTGCCTAATTCTCTTGACCAAAGCATTGCCCTTTGCTATTTCTTAGTTTCTATATCTCAGGATTAATCGATGAGTCAAAAGTCGATGCTTCCGTTTCGAAATCATAGTTTTTGTTTTCAAAATCATAGAAAAGTTTGGGACGGCTATACTATAGCATGCTCTGGACATCCTACTGATGCCGATGATTTTTCTTTGCAGGTGCCTAAGTGGATGGCGGTGAACAGGCGTTCAGCAAAGACTCTCTCTTAGGTTGGGTTCTCCCGATGCCATTCCCTTCCTTCACTTGCTTAGCTTACATTGTGGCTGCTCATTGTTTGTTTCCTTCATTTTCTTTCTGAAGTATGGGACGAGGAGATTGAAGTTGGACCCTGTTGATGGCTCGATACCGAACCCAGAACATGTGCCTGATCATGGTACACACCATTGGATGGTTTTTGCTGCCTATATGTTTTTGTGAGTAGCCATGAGCATCGAATGTCTATCTGCTAATTTCAGTTCAGAATTTTGTTCTTTCATAGTTGTTGCTTATTTTCCTTGTTGGCCAATGGTCATTGTAAGTTTTCGAGGAGTTTGTTAGACTACTCGCATTTAGATGTGTAATAGTGTTAAGCGACTGTTTTGGATTCAGTTGTTGGGAGCTCGAATCTGAAGCCTCTATCCTGCAAAGAGGAGCAAGTGATGTGGATATTTTACGAGCAAAAGATTCAAGAAGTGTGCAGAGCATTCATATTCCCCCACAAAATTCAGGTAAAATATTCAGGCCAATGGATTTGAGAGAATCTTACCATTGCTTATTAATGTCTTTGAAAGTTGATGTTTCCTGTCCAAAGTTGATTCACAGTTGAATATGGCATCCCCTCAACGTAATGGGATCCGGACACCATTTCAGGACCTAACGAACACTAGAAATTCTGGTAATTATATACCACCAATTCTTGCCTATGCCATCCCCGTTCCTAAAGGATACCGGCCATCAGTGAATAATTACTTCATGAATACTCCCTCCATTCCTAAATATAAGTCTTTTTAGAGATTTAAATAAGAGACTACATATGGAGCAAAATGAGTGAATCTACACTCTAAAATATGTCCATATACATCCGTATATAGTTTGTATTGAAATCTTTAGAAAGACTTGTATTTAGGAACGGAGGGTGTAGATAAATTGGTAGGTCTCTTTGATAGAATGGGTAATATTCAATCACTTCAGCATTATAGTCATGCTAAGAGTTTACATAATGAAGACATCATTTTAATTTTCTTTAGTTTGGCTTCACCGGAATATGTAACATTTTTATCTTCAAGTGGCATGTGTGTTTCAATAAAGTATGTGTAAGTTCTTGCTAAGATAGTGGTGATCCTGCAGTGTGGTGTCTCTGTTCAACAAGCTCTGGTATTTAAGTAAATATTGTCAACTGTTGCTTGCTTGTACATTTTGCATGTATCCGTGTGGAAACAGAGCTACCAGTGCTGCAAATGTCATTAAACTTGGCCAACTTGAAACCATTGCAGCTAACATACACCTGATTATCTACTCATGTATGTCATCATTGCTACAGCCAATTGGAACAACAAGCAATGCATCAGCTAATTAGAACATCAAGCAAGCAATGCAGCTACTGTCAAGGTTGCATCACATTCATGCTATAGATTCAGCAAAGTTTAGGTTCTCTATCCAACACACTGTTGCTTCAAGCTTCAGGTTCAGGCGCCGACGATGAAGGGAACAAAACCTATATCTATATCACGTTGCGTGTGTGTCAACTGCCACAAGTGCCGACATCGCCAACATTAGGGCTACCTGGGAAGCCGGCAGCCGGCAGTAGCACCGGAAGCAGGGACAGGAGCAACAATGTAGGCGGTAGCCTACAACAGCGGATGGGGTTACTGGGATGGGCACGAGAGGCAGCGGCATAGCTACCGGGAGCAGCAAGGTTCAGGATAAGTGGAGGAGCTAGCAGCCAGAAACATCGGAGGCGGTAGCTGCCGGTAGCAGCGCAGATGGCAAGAAACAAAACGAGTGTTGAGGGTCCATGTAGAAAATAAAACTCATTGGTAATTGTAGATCGGCCGCCGGTTGAAATAGAGGTTGTTACAATTATGTTTTGATGAAGAATCAGTATTATTACATATTTAAAAAAATACTTCCTCCATTCTAAATATAATCTTTTTAGAGATTTCAGTAAGGACTACATACGGGTGTATATATTAAAGTATAGATTCACTCATTTTGCTTTGTATATAATCCAAATTGAAATCTCTAAAAATACTTACATTTAAAAACGAAGAGAGTATAATTTTATATCTAGATGAAGACCTGCGTTGCACGTGCACGTTTACTAGTTTGAAGTAAAACACCCGAAGAAGCACAAGATCATGTTCAAATATGCTCACAACACATACTAGGTGCCCAACCACATTTAGAAAAGGTAACAACAGTATGATGATTATGTTTAACAGCACTTTCACCCTGGAAACAGGAATGCAGATAGCTATGCGAAATGCTAACAAAGTACCCCAGTCAATGGCACAAGCAAAATATCACCTGTAATCACATGTGTTTTGCATACAATCGTAGAGGAGAATACAAGAGCAAGTGGATTAAGGGCACGACCAAGGTGGGCGCTTAGGACAACTGCCAGGGTTAGATTCCAGGCCAATTAGTCCGCTGAATCCTGGTGTTATCCAAGGCGTCAGCACAAGATGATGTGTCGGTGCTTGTCCGTTTTTCTGCCCGCTCAAAACTCCTGATTGTTTATTTTACTCTACGGAATTAGTGCCTGCCGTTGCAAGCCAGGGCGCTTAGGTGTTTTTTCTATTTTACAATCTTTATTTTTTCCATGCAAGGGCCTCCATAAGCAGCCGGCATTGTAGATGGCCTAAGGCCCCTACCATAAGCTATGAAGCTTGTTACCCGCGTACCATCAATAGGTCCAACACAGTCCTGATTGGTGATAAATAAAACCAAAAAAAATGATCTAAAAAACCGTACCTGCAGAAAAATAAGTGGTGTCGCTCAATCTCATACCTTAAGTATGGATCCCACCTGTGGCACACTTCTATTTTGGTTGGGGTCTCCAATGAAGGCTTTGTAAGATCATCTCATAGCATGCCAATAGCATGGAGGACTTTTTGAAAATCACGGCTACCAACTTCAGTGGACCTAACAAATTTGTGGCAATTAATCTATTCCTAAGGTTGTGCCCAAAAATGTTAAAAAAACATAGCTACTAGCTGCTCAACACACATATGTATCATATTCCCCAAGCACAAGAAAGGTTCTCTGTCACAATTAATCTATTCCTAAGGTTGTGTCCAACAGCAATAAAAGAAACATGGCTACTTGCTGCTCAACAACATATGTATCGTGTCTTTGAGCAATCACAAGTTTATAAATCGTAAGAAAGGTGCTCTACCAAGCCTAAGCATGTTCACACAAATTATACTCCCTCCGTTCCAAAATATAGTGCTTCCTCTATTCCCGTGCTTCAACTTTGACCATAAATTTAACCAACAAGACCGACTGCGGCGGGAGCAAAAGTTATACCAGTGAATTCGTATTCAAAAGAAGTTTTCAATTATATAATTTTTTCTCCCGCCGCAGTCGGCCTCGTTGGTTAAATTTATGGTCAAAGTTGGACCTCGGGAAGCGCGGGCGCACTATATTTTGGAACGGAGGGAGTATCATTCTATTGTCTAGGTACTCCATCCTATCCTTCTCACCTAGTAGCCCATACTCCCTCCATACCAATGAATAGGAGAACATGCACCCCAAAATTCAACTTTGACCATAAATTAGACCAACCAAACGTTGATTATATGTGGTAAGAATTATACCATTCAATTCGTATTGAAAAGAAGTTTTCAGTGGTATAGTATTTAAGTCACAAAAATATACGTTATTGATATAATTTATTTTCGAAGTTGGATTTTGGAAAGCATGCGCGCCTTATTCATTGAAATGGAGGGAGTACGTAATAGCATATATGCAACTGCCCCATAAATTAGCATATTTGTATTATTGTCCATCTAAATCCAAAATCAGAACAAGAAAAATATAACTTCAACATGGCACACAATGTAATTCAATAAGCACTACAGGCAGACTTTGATCAAAACAAGAAAATGTAACTTCAACATGACACGCCATACAATACAATAAACACTACAAGCAGATTTATGTCCACAGATGGTAGCGAGCAATAAAGTACCATACACATGATATCCAAAAAAATTAAGGCCACCAATACAAGTACCAAAACCAGGTCAATACACGGGCCAACTGCCGCAGCATACCATTTTCGAATGGATGGTCACCTAGCTGGGAGGATTTGGGAAGGGAAAATCACCAATACAATATCGAATCAGATCTTGAGGTCTAGGGTTTGTACCTCGGCCTTTGTAGGGGAAATCTGCAAACTTGGATAAGATGCGCTGCTGCCGGTGAGGTCCTGGTCGCCGGTGTCGTCCAAATCGACGGCCGCGCGAGCTGCAAAGACGACGGGGAGCGGGGGTCAGAGGACAGAGAAGGAGAGAGGGGGAGGAGGAGCATGTCAGCAACCGACGCCACTCGCCGTTTCCCGCCGCCACCGCCCGCTGCAGATAGGAGAGAGGTGAGGGAGGGAGAGGGCACGGCCGACCTGCCGCTAAAGCTCCCAGTCAGACACGCGCCGCCGACGCCGCCGCCAGGAGGGCGAGAGGGAAGGGGGTGACTGGTGAGGAAGATAGGGTTACGGGGAGGGGGAGGGAAGGAGAGAGAGAAGGAGGGAGAGATGGGACCTCCGGGAGGCGAGGGAGGGACACGCGCGACCGAGCGACGCTCGCGAGGCTGGTTGTCTCCTCCGGCAGTTTTCTGCGGGGCTTGCCTGAGCAAATTTTGATCAAATGACGCATCATTCTTTTCAAAATAAAATGTACAGAATACAACCACTATTATTGTCCCCCAAAAAACATTGTTATTAATGTAAATCAAGTATCATTTGATATTATTTTTTGAAACACAGTGCAAATATAAACGTTTATAAGCATGTGCATGTAACGCACGCACGCATACCTAATCCATACGAGCACCTCCAAGAAACTGAGACGATAGTCCCTCAGGGACCTATCTTTCATCGAATCTGGCGGATTGTTGGGAGTATATGGTCGTTGATGCTTCGGCTCTATTCGGTGGTGGTAGTGGTCCTTCCAATAAGCTCAGGAGGGGCGGATGTGGTGTCTACGTGTGTGTGTGACGAGCATATATGGGTGTCTTCCTTATTAGCATGTGATGATGAACTCGTGTCTAGTGATAAAGAAGTATACATAAAAAGGAAGGTGTCCTAATATTCTGACTCCTAGTCACAAGTTCGTCGTCGTCATGTTGGCGATACAAGCTATCAACATTCCAGAGGGCTCCTTGGTATATACATTTTGCATCACTATTTCTAAATCCAATTTTAGTTTGGACTTGAGCTTTGGCTTTGTTTGCACAAGAACATGTCACCGTGTATCATCGGCGTCGGGGGTGATGCATCACAACTCGCGTTGAAGGAGACCCATCCGGAAATGTGTTACGCAAGCAATCCCACATACGCTTTTGTAGGCCCGAAACTCCACACGTCCAGGAGGGACCCCCTCAGGTCGCGCGGCGGCTATGGGTTGCTCTAAGTCGACCTGGTCGCCTCTAGGGCCTCGAGGTTCGCCGCCCTGCAAATGAAGAACAAAGAAGAAGAACTAGGGTTAAGGAAGAAAAGATAAGAACTAAAAAATGATAGATGGATTGATCGGTTGTTGTGTCGTTCAATCGATTGTCACCTCTTATGAGGCGGCTGGACTTCGTGTACAAGAAAGGGACTCCAAATCCTGTCCAAATCCTTCCAAAATTAACCGAACTCGGATTTAGGTATGTTTGAGATAGCAGTTCGGTTTCTGGGTCTCACATGCCACAAATGATCTCGCATTAAGATGAGCTCAAAAGCAAATTTAATTGTTTCGGCGAGATGAACACCTTTCATTGTTGAGCATTTTTCAATTCAAGATCATCTTCGGAGTCGAATCGCTCATGCAAAACAGGTAATCAATGGCACTACCCATCAGACATCAACTATATGGGAGTCTGATGGGGCATGCCACTTTTTGACTTGTGGTAGGGCTGCACTCCAATGACTCTAACTTTTGCATACGATTTTGCATTAAGACGATATATATATATGAAAATCAACCGTTCCGACGAGATGAAGACAACCTGTGTAGAACATTTTTCATATGAGGTCATCTTGAATGTGTAATCGGATGAACAATACTCTGAATACAAAATCTTAGTACGCCGAACACAACTTTGGCCCTTTAGATGAGATTGGATGGTGATGACATAACTTTCTCATGATGCGAACTTTTCCATTTGAGGTTGATATGTCTCCGTCGCATCTGTTTTTTTAAACACTGTTGATCTTGTTTTGAACTCTAATTTACATGATTTGAATGAAACTAACCAGGACTGACGTTGTTTTCAGTATAACTATCATGGTGTTGTTTTTGTGCAGAAATAAAAGTTCTCAGAATTGGACAAAACTTTTTGGAGATTTTTTGTGGGATAAATGAAAAATACTTGAGCGAATATCCACTAGAGGAGGGCCACCAGTTGCCCACAAGGCAACAGGGCACGCCCTATTACCTTGTGGGCCCACGACTATTGAGTATTTTATTTTTAGGTTAATTTAAATTAGGGTTTTACTAAACAGGGCCTTTTTTGACTTAGTTTTGTTTTATCTTTAAACTTTTTACTTTGTTTTTTTAAAAAATATTATTATTATCACCTGTGACAATTTTAGTTTTGTTTCTTTTAGTCAACAGAAGAAAAAAAAATAGAAATTTATTTTCTTTAGTTTTGTATGAAAACTTGTATAGGTCATAGTTAGAGTTTTATAAAAGCTTTT